TCCTACATGCGGGATGTGACTGTGGAGCGCCGTGGTGGCCCCCTGCCCTATTACCAGCGCCCCATCCTGGGAACTGAGTTTGTTCAGATATGGAGGCATTTGAAAGAGGTGGAGCTGACGAAGGCACCCACCTTTCTGGCTTCTGTCTTGAACTACAATGGCTCCACCTTGGCACCTCTGCATGCTACTGCTAGTGGCTTTCGTTCAGGGGACCGGTCTACCTGGATAGCCCTCTACCATAACATTTCAGGTCTTGGAATGTTCCTTCACCCAGTGGGGCTGGAGCTACTGCTGGACCACAGAGCCCTGGACCCAGCCCACTGGGTGGTCCAGCAGGTCTTCTACCTTGGGCACTACTATGCAGACTTGGCCCAGTTAGAAAGGGAGTTTAAAGCTGGCCACCTAGAAGTGATTCAGGTTCCTCTACCCACACCAAATGGGGCTTCCTCTCTGAGGTCTCGAGTCACTCCAGACCCTCTTCCCCCTCTTCAGCTCTCACCCCAGGCTCCCCAGTACAGTGTACAGGGAAACTCAGTGGTATCTCCTCTCTGGACATTTACCTTTGGTCATGGGGTGTTCAGTGGCTTAAGAATTTTTGATGTTAGGTTCAAGGGTGAGCGTGTGGCCTATGAGGTCAGTGTCCAGGAGTGCCTGACAGTTTATGGTGCCGATTCCCCCAAGACAATGATGATCCGGTACTTGGACAGCAGCTATGGCCTTGGCAAAAACAGCCGAGCCTTGGTTCGGGGGGTGGACTGCCCCTATCAAGCCACAATGGTGGACATCCACATACTAGTAGGCACAGGTTCAATCCAGCTACTCCCAGGGGCTGTGTGTGTATTTGAGGAGGCCCAAGGACTACCCCTTCGAAGGCACCACAATTCCATTGGGGGGCATTTTTACGGTGGTTTGGCCAGCTCGAGCCTTGTTGTCAGGTCGGTGTCATCAGTGGGCAACTACGATTACATTTGGGACTTTGTGCTGCACCCAAATGGGGCGCTCGAAGGGCGTGTCCATGCCACAGGCTATATCAACACAGCCTTCCTGAGTGGAGGGGCCGAGAGTCTCCTCTTTGGGAACCGAGTCGGGGAAAGAGTGCTGGGAGCAGTGCACACACACGCTTTCCACTTCAAACTGGACCTGGATGTGGCAGGTGAGTTCTTGGACTGAGGCTTGAAGGCTGGGAATGGGGCCCAGGGCGGGAAGCCCCCCCCCCCCCCCCCCGGGAGCATTGCCTGAGCACAGCTGCAGTCGTAACAGGATGTCCTGCCAAAGGCCAAAGGGGTTTCTTTTGCCCAGCTTCTACCCTCTGACCCCCTCCCTGCCCCACATGTGCAGTTGTGAAACTAGTCTAAATGTGATGGCTGTGCCTGGCTGGCTTAACCTTGAGGGACCCTCTTAGGGAGTGACTTGACCCTGCGGGAATTAGATGGGGCTAGAGGGAGGCACTTGCTGCTCGAGCTTAAGGTGGGTGGAGAGGCCATGGACTAGAGCAGAGGTAACTGGAAGTGTGGCTGAAGGGCTTTCAGTAGGGTAAGGATGTGTGTGGTACTTGGGGAGGGAGGTGGTCGGGGCTGGGGTGGCGCTGCAGTTAGTGCCAACCATGTGGGGAAGTTCTCCCTACCCTGTCATCACTGAACTGTCCACTGTTGCGGCAAGCCTGGGATGGCCTGCTGTCCCCGGCAGATACTCTGGGGGACAGAACCCAGGCTCGTGAAAGCACAGGCACGGACCCAGAAAGAAGCAAAATCCACCAGACAGACCTCCGTTTTACACTGGGGAAACTGAGGAGGGCATGGGAGGTGGAGCAGGAAGTGGCTGCGCTAACGTTGTGTATGAAGCCCTGGCATCCGTGCTTTGAACACTGCATTTGTGCTTGTGGGTTTTGGGTGGGGCATGAAACGGAACTTACAACGAACAGGATGACAATAGATTCTAATCTGACATGCTTGGACTGTGACTGTCCAATTGGAAAACTCTTCAGCATCGCTGGGCATTAAAGAGCCAGTTACAAGCTTTCTAGTGTGTGCATCGTGGTCTCGTTTAAGGGAACCAAATGTCCTGATCCTGAAAAAAGGGATCAAGTACTGAGTTGGGTTGCATGTGTTCAGATACAATAGGATTTAAGAAGCTCCTGGGTGATGGAAAGCTGTGAATCTTTTGAAAGAGGCTAGCACTAGTGTCCCCTCTGCCAAGAGAGTGGAGTCCTAGAGCAGGGAGGAGTATACAGGGACTGCAGAGCGGAAGGGGATTGTGTTTTCCAGGTCACCTCAAGACTAGTCTCTCTCGTAGTCACGGGAGTGTTTCCACGTGTATGCTCTTCCATGTGTTGAGCACAGTCACAAAACAGCATTGACTGTGTCTGCTGTAAAGATTTAGGAAGTAGGAATCAGAAGCAAACTATTCTAAGGTCTACTGGGTAGGCCGATGCTACTACAGCCCTCTGTGGAGGCAGAAACATTTCGTATCTAGTCATATGTGACTGCCAAGCAGTTTGTTGTTTATCTGAGGCTGGGTCTCACCGTATGTTAGACTGGTTTTGGACTTTTATTTATTTGCTTGCCTATCTATGTATTTTAAGATGGGGTCTCACTCTGTATCCCTGATTATCTTGGAGCTCTCTATGTAGATTAGTCTGGCTTTGATTTTGCAGTCACCTCCTGCTCTGCCTCCCAGGTGCTGGATTGCAGGGATGTGCAGGGATGTGCAGGGATGTGCAACTATGCCTAATATTGAGCTCTTTAAGTTATAGCTAGTGTGCCTGGAGAACTGAATTTTTCATATACGTAGCCACACATGACTAGTGGTTGGAAGAAGCCAGGCCAGCACTTGGCCATGGTTATCACTCTCAGTCCAGGCGCTCTCTGACGTCTTTGGTCAGGCCAGTGCTATAGGCATCAAAGAGGAGACCAAGGATCCTGTCCAAGCAACCTCACCTGGTGTAGCACTCTCCCTTTCCTTACCCTGACAGGTTTGGAAAACTGGGTGGTGGCTGAAGATGTGGTGTTTAAGCCTGTAGCAGCCCCATGGAACCCAGAGCTTCAGCTACAGCGCCCACAGCTGACCAGGCAGGTCCTGAGCAGGGAGGACCTGGCTGCATTTCCCTGGGGGAGCCCCCTTCCCCGATACCTTTACCTGGCTACCAACCAGACCAACGCCTGGGGTCACCAGCGCGGGTACCGAATCCAGATCCGCAGCCCTCTTGGCGTACATGTACCCTTGGAGAGCGACATGGAGAGGGCTCTCAGCTGGGGGAGGTGAGGAGGGCCCCGGGAATGGGTGTGAGGGAAGGACTTGTCCCCAGTGCCACTCCCAAATCCTGGACCTGCCCTCAGATTCAAGTAGATAAGGACAGGATGGGAACTTGTCCCAGAATCTGACCAAGGGATTCCAGGCCTGTAAAGCTCTTTGATTTTTTTTTTCCAACACTGCCTACAATTCCTGGTCAGATACCAGCTGGTGGTGACCCAGAGGAAGGAGGAGGAGCCCCACAGCAGCAGCATCTATTACCAGAATGACATGCGGACCCCGACCGTGGCCTTTGCTGACTTCATCAACAACGAAACCCTCCTAGGAGAGGTTGGTGGCTTAGACACTGTAGAGAAAGCTTTCTCTTTTATTGGCACCTTAGCTGTCCAGCCTCTGTCCAATACAGATCATCCCTACTAGGGCGAACATAGTCACAACAGTGGCGCCCTGTGCAGCTCCTTCCACAGATTGTCAGGTGTTCTGGGTAGGAATATGGCTGGCAGAGAGGCAAAAGCCATGCTGAGTCTGGAGGCTGGGAAACTGGAGCTAAGAGGAGATCCTTCGCCTCCAAAAGCCTCCAACTCCCCCCTCCCCCTACAGGATCTGGTGGCTTGGGTGACGGCCAGTTTCCTGCACATCCCCCACGCTGAGGACATCCCCAACACAGTGACTGTGGGGAATGGAGTGGGCTTCTTGCTCCGGCCCTACAATTTCTTCGATGAAGATCCCTCCATTTTCTCTCCTGGCAGCATCTACTTTGAGAGGGACCAGGATGCTGGGCTCTGCAGTGTCAACCCCGTGGCCTGCACCCCGCATCTGGCAGCCTGTGTCCCCAACTTGCCCTCCTTTTCCTATGAAGGCTTATAGGCTGAGGATGTGCCGAGGCTCCGGGAGTGGAGTATGAGATGCACTTATCGCCCGCGCTCCGGGCTTCCCACCCTCTGTTCCTGGAAAAACATCCTGGGTAGCCCCTTGTGGGTTGATTCTTGCTTCCTGCTGTTTTGTAGCTTGTTTTGTGTTTGTTTCTGAGACAGGGTCTTCCTACATCCTGGAACTTGGTGTGTAGACAAGGCTGGCTTCAACGCGCAGAGATCGGCCCGCCTCTGCCTCCAGACTGCTGGGATTAAAGACGTGCACCACTAACCCTGGCTTCTGCCAGTGATTGAAATGATAATTTATTAAAAAATGGTTTTGGAATACCCCAAAATACTGCAAACTGTCAAAGCTCGGTGGTGTTCACATTATACTAGGCTTCTCTCATATGTGTGTATCTAAAAGGAATGGTGTAGCTGATAATAAAATGGTTTGCAAAATTTTTGAGTTTGGCTTTTTAAGTCATGTAGAGCTCCCAAGAGGATATAAAGGACTCTGGCCAAGGAAATCAGCAACAGAAAGATCCATGGGGGTTGGGAGTAGGTAAACCTGGCCAAGGAATGTTTCTTGGGAAAGAGGCTGGAAGTGAGAGTTTCCTTGGCAAAACAATAACTTCACAGTGAAAGCAAAGAAAGCATCTGGCCCTCGAAAGGTGGGAGTTGGGGAAGAACTCCATCTGAGGAGCACTGGGCTCTGGAGCAGACCCGGCTCCTCGCTGGTAGTGGATTTTCCATGCCCAGACTGGATTCCTCCCCCTTCCCTCAACCCTAGCTCTCCCCAAGCCCAACCCTGACCCAGAGAGCACAGTCTGATTTGGAAGCTGGAGGACAAAGCCATGTAGAGCCATGTAAGGTCTGTGGCTATCACTGCAGCCAGCTCAGACCCGCCTCCCAGCCCTGGCTCCAGCCTCCTCCTCCTCCTCCTCCCCACCCTCAGCGAAAGCATCGGAAGCTCCACAGTTGAGAGGAGTCCATTTCTGATAGAAGCCCGGCTCTCTTCAGGGAACAATGACCCAGAAGACCACCCTGGTGCTCCTTGCTCTGGCTGTCATTACCATCTTTGCCTTGGTTTGTGTCCTGCTAGCTGGCAGGAGCGGAGACGGGGCAGGACAGAGCCAACCTCCTCATTGCCCCTCCGTTCCTCCTAGTGCCCAGCCCAGGACACACCCTAACCAGAGCCAGCTATTTGCAGACCTGAACCCCGAGGAGCTGACAGCTGTGATGAGCTTTTTGACCAAGCGCCTGGGGCCAGGGCTGGTGGATGCAGCCAAGGCTCGGCCCTCGGACAACTGTGTCTTCTCGGTGGAGCTGCAGCTGCCTGCCAAGGCCGCAGCCCTGGCCCACCTGGACAGAGGGGGACCCCCACCTGCCCGGGAGGCCCTGGCCATCATCTTCTTTGGTGCACAACCCCAGCCCAACGTGAGTGAGCTGGTGGTGGGGCCCCTGCCTCACCCCTCCTACATGCGGGATGTGACTGTGGAGCGCCGTGGTGGCCCCCTGCCCTATTACCGGCGTCCTGTGCTGACCAGAGAGTATCTGGATATCGACCAGATGATCTTCCACAGAGAGCTGCCCCAGGCTGCTGGGCTCCTCCACCACTGCTGCTTCTACAAACACCAGGGGCACAACTTGTTAGCCATGACGACAGCCCCCCGTGGCTTGCAATCGGGGGACCGGGCTACCTGGTTTGGTTTGTATTACAACCTCTCGGGGGCTGGGTTTTATTTACACCCCATTGGCCTGGAGCTGCTGATAGACCACAAGGCCCTGGATCCTGCCCTGTGGACCATCCAGAAGGTGTTCTATCAAGGCCGCTACTATGAGAGTCTGGCTCAGCTGGAGGACCAGTTTGAGGCTGGCCTGGTGAATGTGGTGCTGGTCCCAGACAATGGTACAGGTGGGTCGTGGTCCCTAAGATCCTCAGTGCCACCAGGTCCAGCTCCTCCTCTGCAGTTTCATCCCCAGGGACCCCGCTTCAGTGTCCAGGGGAGTCGAGTGACCTCCTCACTGTGGACTTTCTCTTTTGGCCTTGGTGCTTTCACCGGCCCAAGGATTTTTGATATCCGCTTTCGAGGGGAGAGGGTAGCCTATGAGATCAGTGTCCAGGAGGCCATAGCCCTATATGGTGGCAATTCCCCAGCAGCCATGACGACCTGCTACATGGATGGTAACTTCGGCATTGGCAAATACTCTACCACTCTGACCCGAGGGGTGGACTGCCCTTACCTTGCCACCTATGCGGACTGGCATTTCCTTCAGGAATCTCAGACCCCCAAGACGCTACGTGATGCATTCTGTGTGTTTGAACAGAACCAGGGCCTCCCGCTACGGCGACACCATTCGGATTTCTACTCCTACTATTTTGGGGGCGTCGTGGAGACGGTGCTTGTGGTCAGATCCGTGTCTACCTTGCTCAACTATGACTATGTGTGGGACATGGTGTTCCACCCCAACGGGGCCATAGAAGTCAAATTCCACGCCACGGGCTACATCAGCTCGGCCTTCTTCTTCGGCGCTGGTGAGAGGTTCGGGAACCGAGTTGGGGAGCACACGCTGGGCACCGTGCACATTCACAGCGGTCACTTCAAAGTGGACCTGGATGTGGCAGGTTAGACATCCCGAGGGAGACGGGGCTCCTCCAGGTGGGGAGCAAGGGTCAGATTTGAGGCGCATCCTGCCTCAGAGGATGCGCCTGAGAAAGGGCCGCTGGGTTTTATGCGGATCTTAGCTTCCCAGCTGGGTACAAAGCTGCCAGATCCTCACACATGCAGCGTCCTTAGGAAGTCTTAGGAAATGGCTAACCTCGGGGAGAAGGCGGGGTCTGGTTTCACAAGGTCCCTTGAGCTTACATGGGCTTCTGTTCAAGCAAGCCGCTGTTTGCTTTCCAGCTCGGCTCTGTCCGGCCTGTGGTGCCGCGGCCATGGAGGATGGGTTTGGGTTTGCTGCGCCTCTGGGCACGAAAGCCAATCTTGGAACAACTGCTGTTCTACATTTCTCTGGGAGAGAGGCCCTGCTCTTCCCTGATTTTTTATCTCTTTCCCGGCACCATTCCCTTCAGTGCAGGGGTATGCCCGGCCACTGTGGAGAGTTCCAGATGGCTCTTGGAGTTTGCGCTCGCTCACAGAGACAGCCAAGGCTCCATGATTTAAGATCATCTTTCTCTTTTTTTCTTCCTACATTGAGTCATCACCTGATTTTTTTTTCTTATTCTGCTTATGAAATATCTCAGAACTCTCACTAGGTCCCAGTGATACCCTCTGTCCCTGCTATCTTTGTTAAACAAATATTTTTTTCTTTTTTCTTTTTTTTTTTTTTTTTTTTTTTTTTTTTTTTTTTTTTTTTTTTTCTGAGACAGGGTTTCTCTGTGTAGCCTTGGCTGTCCTGGACTTGCTTTGTAGACCAGGCTGGCCTTGAACTCACAGAGATCCACCTGCCTCTGCCTCCCGAGTGTGGGATTAAAGGAGTGTGCCACCACTCCTGGCTGCACTTTTTTTTTTTTTTTTAAGGTTTTTCAAGATAAGGTTTCTCTGTGTAGTCCTGGCTGTCCTGGAGCTCACTCTGTAGACCAGGCTGGCTTCCAACTCACATAAATCTGCCTGCCTCTGCCTCGCTGAGTGCTGGGATCACTGACGCCAGCACCCAGAGTCTGTCTGCTCTTGATGCTTTCGGTCCTGGGTCCACTGTGTGTGGTAGAGAGAGCTGTCCCTCTCATGCTGCTTCCACAGCTGCTGACTTCCCAGCATCCACAAGGGGGCCTGCACAAGGACCTCCCTTCTTCTGCCAGCCCTAGCCCACCCTGAGGGTTTCTCCCTTGCTCTGCTGTAGCTGTAGGGACAAGCACAGATTTATTTTTCGTTTTTACTTACGTGTCTGAGGTATGCTGTGCACACGAGTCATACAGCCCACCAGAAACCAGAGGGAGCGGAGCTCCTGGAACTGGAGCTCTAGGTACTTGTGAGGGGCCCAGCATGGGTTGTGGGACTATTCTTCCAGAATAGAAGAACAGTATGTTCTGGAAGAACAGTATGCACTCGTCTTGTTTTGTTTTATTTTGCCTAACAGCCCTGGCTGTCCTGGAACTCTCTCTGTAGACCAGGCTGGCCTTGAACTCACAGAGATCCACCTGTCTCTATCTCCCAAGTGCTGAGGTTAAAAGTGTGGGACACCACTGCCTGCCAGCATTACTGCTAAACTGTAGCTCTAGTCCCTATTAATAGGTTAAAAGTTTTGTCTAAAGGATTGGGGAGTTCTTGGGGCAGGGAAGGAAGCACGAAACCCAGTCAGTCCTGGGCTGCTCTCTGATCCCCACTCTGATGTCAGGTAGATGCAGAAATGGCCAGAGTGGTCAAATGACGAGCCCTTACTTTACACAGGGCTGAAGAACTGGGCCTGGGCAGAGGACATGGCTTTTGTCCCCGGGAATGTACCTTGGCATCCTAAGTACCAGATCCAGAGGCTGCAGGTGACTCGGAAGCTGCTGGAGACAGAGGAGGAAGCTGCCTTCCCCCTGGGGGGTGCCAGCCCCCGCTACCTGTACCTGGCCAGTAACCACAGCAACAAGTGGGGTCACCGGCGAGGCTACCGAATCCAGATACTCAGCTTCCCTGGAGAGCCACTGCCCCCAGAGAGCCCCATAGAGAAAGCCTTCAGCTGGGGGAGGTGAGCCGTGGGTGCTGAGAGTGGGCTGGGGAAGGTGAGCCCTGGGACGGAGCGGGAGCAGAGGAGGGATAACCAGAAACAGGTCATACTGTTTCAGACATTGCCCGTCTCTGGGCTCAAGGGGTAGGGTAGCGGCGTCCTTTTTTTCCCCTTGGAGAGCTAAAGCCAGGTAAGGAGAACTCTTTTCTGTTGAGGGTGGGTGGGGGTGGGTTGTACTTTGAAATGGCAGGGGTGTGACATAAGCCTCCAGCGTGGTCACAGGAATTCTACTCCTGGCGTTGCTGTGTGAGGGAATATGGAAGCTGGGGGTCAGAGCGCTGGGCTCGCTTCCATCGTCAATGGGCATGGTGATGGGCTTAGCCACCGTGGGGACCTAACCGGTGCCCTTGTAGGTACCGCTTGGCCGTGACCCAGAGGAAGGAGGAGGAGCCTAGCAGCTCCAGCATCTTCAACCAGAATGACCCGTGGACGCCCACCGTGGATTTCACTGACTTCATCAACAATGAGACCATTGCCGGAGAGGTGAGCTGTTGGTGGGATGGACGGAGATGGGGCACGAGGATAAGCTTCACTTTCTCACTGCTGGCTCCCTGAAAACCGTCTGAACTCCATGGAGGTGGAGCTGACTCCCGCCTTTTGCACTTTCGTGGGTAACCACAGCACTGTGATTACCCACAGTGATCACTTCCTTAAGAGCCTTGTTTCCCAACCTCCCCAACGCTGGGACCCTTTAATCCTGTTCCTCATGTTGTGGTGACACCCGAAACTGTAACGTTGTTTCGTTGCTACTTCATAGCTGTGATTTTGCTACTGGTATCAACTGTAATGTCAAGAGCTCATGTTCGGGCTATCTGACATACGACCTCTCTGGGGGTCATGACTCACAGGTTGAGAACCAGTGCTCTAGAGACACTCTAGAGCTGGGGACTCATGTGCAGACAACTTCCACTTAAAGACTGAAAGCCCTAAAAGTCTCAGCTTTGTAGGCTGAGCCCTTTTCAGGCCTGAGGACACATAGAGGGCTGGAAATTACCAGAGAAAACCACAGACCACAACTCCCAGCCCCACCTTGACGACTGTATTCTCCTCATTAACCTGCTTCACCCTTCTAAGTCCTGAATGTCTGTTCCACAATGCTCCCCTGAGTTACACTTGGAGAATTAGGGAAGAAAAGCTGAAGTAGCCTATAGCGGTCACCCTCTGGGGTAGCTAGGCAAAAAGCACTATGATGGGAAACGTTCAAGCCGGGCTCAGGGAGGCAGATGTTGTTCCCAACACGAAATGAGCTTCTTATGTTTAGACTTCTGGGACAATGGAAGGAGACACTGTTTAAAAAGATTCAAGATCTATGGGCTCCTGAATAGCTTCTTCCCTGAAAGGCCACTGTGTAGAGAAGGCGTGTCCAGCCAACCTCACCATTTTCGGTTCTTCTCTCCTGCTAGGACTTGGTAGCCTGGGTGACGGCTGGGTTTTTGCACATCCCACATTCGGAAGACATCCCCAACACAGTGACTGTGGGGAACGCCGTGGGCTTCTTCCTCCGACCCTACAACTTCTTTGATGAGGACCCCTCCTTCTACTCCGCTGACTCTGTTTATTTCCGGGAGGGCCAGGATGTCGGGGCCTGTGAGGTCAACCCCCTGGCTTGCCTGTCCGAGACTGCCACCTGTGCGCCCAACCTCCCTGCCTTCTCCCATGGGGGCTTTACTCACAATTAAATGTCCCTGGATGGACAGTTTAGCCAGGGGCTGGGAAGTAGAGCAGCAGCTGGGTGGTGCACAGGGCAATCTGGCTCTCTCCTATGTCCCCACATCTCTGATGGTCCCTCTCTCTTCTGCTGCCCTTCTGGTCTCTCTTCTGCTCCCCTCCTGGAGCATCCAGAACCCATAATGCCTGACACATAGGGGTACCTCATAGTAGCTTTGAGGACCCTGCAATGATAATAACCCTCTAGGCACCCCAAAGTAGGGTCTCCCCTGAGTCTTGCACATTCACAAATGAGCTGGGATTCTTTGTCCACATTCCATTTTACTTAAGCCTCTTTCATCTCCTCCTACCCCGGCACCCCGTGGAGTTTCAGTTTGCTCTGACATTCTAGGATTTCAGTCCAAAAGGGATGTCTGTCTTTAGGGTTCCTTCAGCCCTCGTTTCCCAATCGCAGCCCCTTCTCCTGAACCTGAGTCTGTGAGAGTCTCAAAGATGCAATAGAAGGGCTCATTGGACAGGACCAGGCATGTCTGTCTCCTGATGTTTGTCACTTGCCGGGAGTAGGAGTGGTCCCAGCTACTCCTACCATTGAGTACAAGAAGATGGTCCTAGCGACAGCAGGTGACTGTGGGGTGCTGTGATAATGTTGTTCGTTTGTTTGGTTTATGTTTTGTTTTTTGAGGCAGGATTTCCCTGTGTGGCCCTGGCTGCCCTGGACTCTCTTTGTAGACCAGGCTGGCCTCAAACTCACAGAGATCCGCCTGCCTCTGCCTCCCGGAGTGCTGGGATCAGAGGCATGCACCACCCACCCCACCACATCCTGCTGCGTAGTTATTTTATTCCACCGCTCTGTGCAACTATGGCCTCTGTGCCCGGCAGTGGCCAGTTTGGGACAGTGGGGTGGGGTAGGAACCATGAATGCACACCGGAAGTGAGAAACAGAAAGCCTTGGGAACCCCATGCCCAAAACAAGGTCTGTCCAATCAGAAGCAGTCATGCAAATGACCCTGAGTCGGCTAGAGAAGGGCGTGGCTTGGAGGGACCTGCTTCAGGGTTTTCCCTCACTGCTTGTGGTCCAAAGAAACATCCAAGTGACAGGAAACTACAGACAGATCATTCCCCCACCCCCCACCCCCGGCAGGCTGGCCAGCCCCATCGTGACACAGCCTTACAGTGCAAACCAAGCTGAAAACTGATACGTCATTACACGTCAACAGGAATGATCTTCGAGGGGGAAGGGCATGCAGAATTGTGTATACTTCAAGACCTTATCTCACAAAACCAAGGGCTGGAAATGTGACTTGGTGATCGACAGAGCCCCTGAGGCCCAGCTCAGCGATGGGATGCTTGCCCATCATGCACGAGGTCTCGGGTTCAATTGTCAGCACTGTTATCAATGAAGGAAAGGTGCTGGAGACATGGCTCAGAAGTTAAGTGTGCGCACTGCTCTCATAGGGGACCCGAGTTCGATTCCCAGCATCCTTATTAGGCGCTCACAGCTATCTATAGCTCTAGCTCCGGGAGATCCAATGCCTTCTTCATGACCACCTACACTCATGCACATACCCCCACACAGAGTTTCAGGACAGCCTGGACTACAGTACAGAGAGACCCTACCTAAAAAAACAAAACAAAAAACTTCCTCTTTCCCGCCCCTCCCCCCAAAAAAAAGAGAATTCTTTAAAGACAAAATAAAAACTAAAAATGAGGAGGGTATATGAGTACATATTTCTTTATCTCTGCATTCTTTGAGAACTGAGTAAATCCAATTGCCTCTGGGGAGGAAGCTGGGTGAATGAGGGAACTGGGTACTGGGTACCTTCTGCGCATCCTGAATTTTGAATAATGTGATTGTATTGCCTCATCAAAATAAGTAAGTGGGCCCGAAAACGAACTGCCTTTTCTTTTTCTTTAAACATGCTACGTGTGGAGAAGTAGGTGGCCTACAGTACTGCCCTGGCCTCTTCTTTCTTTTATAAATTCTGAGGAAATGCTAAACTTCAGTTCAATAACTCTCACCACCTCCATTGCCTCTCTTGGAGGAGGGGATAATGAGAAGCAATGGAGGTGGGGACTTCTGCTCCGCCAGGAGGTGAAAGCGGTGGGAGCAGTTTCAGGTGTTGCTCAGTTTCTAGCCAAAAACTCAGCAAATTTAAGAGCTCAGACACCACCGTGGGTCCTTTCGCTGCCTTCTCTCTGTCCTGCCCCAATTTTATGCCCTCCTTCCCATGGATTGGGAAGGGGTCGTGAGTGGAAAGAAAGCAGACTCCAAAGAGCAAGGAGGAAGAGGTCGATGAGGAACAAGCCCAGCAATGCTGGCTTCATTTATAACATGCCCTGGGGTGGGTAATCAGAGGGTTGATGCGTAGACTGGAGAGATGGCTCAGAGGTTAAGAGCACCAGCTGCTCTTCCAAAGGTCCTGAGTTCAATTCCCAGCAACCACATGGTGGCTCACAGCCATCTATAATGAGCTCTGGTGTCCTCTTCTGGCAGGTAGGTGTACGTGCAGACAGAACACTGTATAAAATAATAAGTAAATAAACCTTTTAAGGAAAAAAAAAAAAAAGGCTGATGCAGGAGGATTGCAAGATTGAGACTAGCCTAGGAAACTATTAAAACAAAATTTTTAATATACAGTGGATCCTGTCAAAGTTGGGTTTTGGTCATGGTGTTTTATCACAGAAATGATATCCCTAACTAAGACAATATTCTTTTATAGCCCCTTCTCAAAGCAGGTGGCAGCACCAGAGTTACAGGGAAGGGAAGCAAAGGGACTGCTACCTGCCACCATCTAGTTCACTTGAAACTCGTTTCCTTCATGGCCATCTCTTTACTAGGGCCAGAGTGTATATATGTGGTGTGTGTGTGTGTGTGTGTGTGTGTGTGTGTGTGTGTGTAAGTGAACACAGTTCTATTGGAGGATGTGACTAGTGTGTCTATGTTTACTCCCTAGCCCACCAATGATGGGGTGGGAGCGGACATGTAGATGATTAGACCTCAGCCCAGCTCAGGAGGTCTTCAATGGGCCTTTATCCCTAAATCAGTCTGTCCTATAGATCACTGTCATTGCTTACAGTATTGGCCTTAGATGTATCAGGTGGCGAGGAGGAGTGACTAGCTAGCAAAGACTGACATCCTGGTGGATTGGATGAACGGGTACCACCAACGTTCAGAGCTTCATGATGGAGACCTGTTGACCTCAGAAGAGGATGCTGGGCTAGGGGGCCCCTGAGGCTGAACAGAGAGCATGACTATGTCTTCTCTGGGAATGTAGACTCAGACACCCACAGCGGGGCATAGGAGACGTGCCAGCTGCCTCTACCTCAACGTCAGTTCCACACTCTAGTTCCCAACACCTGGAGGAATTCTTCCTTGCAGTAAAGAGATTTATGGAAGCCAGGCATAGCGGCATACATCTATAATCCCGCACTCAAGAGTCTAGGTAGAAGGATCATGAGTTTAAGACCAGACAGAGCTACTGTTATGAATTGTGATTTGAGTATTTAGTTCCTAACATGGTGGCATTACTTTGGGAGGCCACAGAAACTTAGAACACCGTGCCAAGCTGGAGGACGCAGGCCACTGGGCGAGCCCTGCCTGGGGATATGTAATTTCTGGCTATTTCCTGCCTTGCCTCCTGGTTCACCATGAACATCACTGCTGTGCTCTGCCACACCCTACCACACCGTCCTCACCAAGAGAGACAGAAGCTTCGAAGACCACAGGCTGAAATAATCTTTTCTCCTCCTTACATTGATTCTGTAAGGTCTCTCTCATTCTCTCTCTGTGTCTCTCTCTCTCTCTCATATACACACACACATACACACACACAAACAAACACACACACACACGTGCATATACACACAAACACAATGATTTAAAAAAAAAAAAACACCTTGTCTTAGTTAGGGTTTCTATTGCTGTGATAAAATGCCATGACCACTGAAAGCAATTTGGGGGAAGAAAAGGTTTATTTCAGCTTATGGCTCATAGCTTATCATCCAGAGACATCAAGGCAGGAATTCAAGATGGCGGCAAGAACTAAATGCAGAGCCCATGAAGGAGAGGCACTTACTTGCTCCCTCCACCGGAGGCTCGCCATCAGAAAACACAGATCTGTACACTGTGCTTCATAACACTAGCAAAATTACAGTTATGAAGTAGCAATAAAAATAACTTTATGAGTCTGGCGCAGTGGCACACGGCTGTAATCCCCGCACTCGGGGAGGCAGAGGCAGGCCTCTGTGAGTGCGAGGCCAGCCTGGTCTACAAAGTGAGTCCAGGACAGCCAAGGCTACACAGAGAAACACTGTCTCGAAAAACCAAACCAAAACAACTTTATGGTTGGGGTCAGCAGAACACAAGGAACTGTATAAAAGGGTCGGTCATAGCATTGGGAAGGGCAGGAACCACAGTCCTAGAGGATGGGATGCTTAAATTGATCTTACGGAGAAATAAAAATTGCCTGGGGTGGAGGGGTGAGAATGTGAAAAGGCTCCAGGACAGACAACAGCGTGTTCAACTCCTGATCAAAGGGTAAGCCTCCCCACCAATCAATTCCCTTCCTAGGAAGCTCATTTCCCAGGAAATGGTCCGATCGCCTGTGTACACTTACACAATGCATAGGGTGGCTGGAAAAGCCATCAGTGAATAAACTTTGAAAAGCTGGAAAGATTCCCAGACCATTTAAAAAAAAAAAATTTTTTTTAACATGGTCTCATTATGTAGCCCTGGACAGCCTACAACTTACCATGGCTAGCCTTGAACCTACAAAGAACCCGCTTGCCTCTGCCTCCTGTGTGCTGGTGTTAAGTGTGTGCACCATTTTGCCCATTTTATCCCCCATTAATTCACAACTCCCCTGTCTGTTGGAAGCAAAGCCTTCCTTTCAGCTCCTCAGGAATATCCTGCTATCTTCTTTCTATATTTGTTTACTTATTTAGGCTTTTGAGAGAAGGTCTCGGTATATGATAGAGTGACCTAGCTGGCCACATAGCCCTGGCTGACTATGTGCAGAATGTGCAGGGCTCCTTTCTCCCCTCCTCCTCCCCTCCCCCAGCCAGCCGAGAAAGGTTTTTATCAAGGTTTTTTAGCTCTTCCCTAGGGACCCGAATCTTGCTAAGCCTCTGCCTGACCCTGAGGCTCCAGGGGGCAGGAGTATCACACACACCCTTTCCTCCAAAGAGTCTTCCATGCCGCGTGACTCTGCTTCCCATTCTCAGGAAACCACCTTTCCACCCACCGCCCTTCCAGCAGCGAGCCACAGGTCATGGACACTGCTTTGGCAACTGTCAGCTTGACATCTCCATCGAGGAAACCAGTGAGGCCTTCCCGCTGGCTCCTCCTGAGCTCCTCCTGCCTCACATTCCCACGCCTCCTCCTCCTCTGTGTCTGTCCTTCCTAAGATGACTTGTCCCAGGATCTCTAGACCCTCTTTCCAGGGCTGTGCTCTTGGCCCTCCTTTATTTTTTTCTTTTCCCCAAATACTGTCCTGCATACTTCAGACTGTGGGTATCAGCTGTTGGCTAAATATGTCTTTCCATCTAAATTGTCCCATTTCACAACAGCCCTTTGCCTTAACCCCCAGACATGTACTCCTACACACACACACACACACATCTGCTCACATGCACACCAGGCACAGACTGTCACACACACAGAGAAATATGCAGACACATACAGGAAGAAGCAGGTGCACGTGTATATATGAATACATGCACGCATTAAGCACACGTGTGTGTGAGTAAACACGAAGAACAGGCACAGACACCAGGATACATATGGCACAAGCCCCCCCCCCGTATGGGCACGTATATACGAAAAATGTGCGTTCACAGTGTGAACAAATGACAGAAATATAAATGTGGCTGGCATCTGCTCCCATGCACCCACGCACACAAAACACGTGTGTGCACATACACACTCACAGACATACACCCGAGTGTGTTTTTACCCACACATAAACACTCTCATGCATGCACACCAAACACAGGTGTATGCCCACACATAAACCCATGCGGACACACACACACACACATTCACATGTGCGCATGCATTCCTGTTTTTGGTAACAGGGTTTCTCGATGCAGCCCTGGCTGTCCTAGAACTTGCTATGTAGAAAACACACAGACATCCTACCGTCTCCCATCTCCCAGGCGCTGAGGTTAGAGGTGTGTGTCACCATACCCAGACACTTTCTTTTCTTTAAGAATACAAACAAACAAAAAGTAGGGGACCTGGGGAAATGGTTCAGCAGTCAAGAGCACTGGCTGCTCCGCCTGAGGACCCAGGTTCAGTACCCAGCACCCACATGAAAGCTCACATCTGTCTGTCTGTCACTCCTATTCCAGGGGATCCCACACCCTCACACACAGACATACATGCAGTCAAAACACCAAAGTACATAAAAAAATAAACGAAGGAAGGAAGAAAGGCTCAGACAAGCCTGGAGCTGCTGATGTCACCAGACTGGCTGGAAGCGCAGGGCGGTCATACAGCCTCAGTGCTGGGGTTACAGGGGTGAATCTTGACCCCTAGCTCTGAAAGCTTCTGTTGTTGTTGTCGTTAATAGTGTGTGTTTGCATGTGTGTGCCCATGTGCCTGTACAAGAGAGAGAGAGAGAGAGAGAGAGAGAGAGAGAGAGTGTGTGTGTGTGTGTGCAGGTACCTGCAGAGGCCCTTGGAGCTGGGTTACAGACAGGTGTAAGCTGCCTTGTGGGTGCTGGGAATGGAACCAGGATTCCGAGCAACAGCCACCAGCACTGTTAACTGCTGAGCTGTCTCTCCTGCCCCTAAGACTGTTTCTCAAGAAACACCAACCCTGCTTCAGAAAGACTCATCCTGAGGTTGGTTTCTCTGTTGGTCTGAATGAGAAATATCCCGCAGAGGCTCTGGCATTTGAGCACTTAGTCACCAGGTCAGGGCCTTGTTTGGGGAGATTTAGGAGGTGTGGCCTTGCTGGAGGAGTTGTCCACTGGGGATGAGGTGTTTTTTTTTTTTTTTTTTTTTTTTAAAGATTTATTTATTATTTATACAACATTCTGCCTGCACACCAGATCTTACTATAGATGGTTATGAGCCACCATGTGGTTGCTGGGAATTGAACTCAGGACCTTTAGGAAGAACAACCAGTGTCCTTAACCCCTGAGCCATCTCTCCAGCCCCCAGGGATGAGTTTTTGAGAATGTGAAGACCAGTGCCATTCTGAGCCTGCGTTCTGCTCTCTGCTTTCTGTTTGTGAAGCGTGGCTTGGTTGCTCGCTCCTGTAATCCCAGCCCCCAAGGAGAAGGAGGAGTTCAAGGTGATTATGCATTACCAACGGAGCTCAGTATCAGCCTGGGATACATGAGACCCCATCTCAAAACCAAAACCAACCCCACAACCAACCAAACAAGCAAAGATGTATTAACTGAGCAAACCACTGACACCCAACAACTCAAAAGCTAAGAATAACCAATTATTCTCAGCCCCACCAATCTGAGATTTCCACCAAAGTATCTGAAAATGTCTTATGATTTTCTGCAGGTCTGTAGCTATAAAAACTCCTTGTAGCTATAAAAACTTCCCCGTTGGGATATGCTGCTTGAGGCAACCTGAATCTGTGCTCCAGGCCAGGGTCACGGCACATTTGGCTCAGGAATAAACCCTTTTTCCCGTTGACATGGTTTGTGTTCAGAGTGGAGTCTCTGAAAACAGAACTTGGGCTGCTAGAGGGGCAGTGTAGGACTCCATCTGGATGACACAGTGATGGCGGGGGGGTGGGGGTGGGGGGTGGGGTGGCTACAGGCTCCTGTCTGAGGCTGGCGCTTCTCCAAGCCTTGGGTGAGAAGAAGGCAGAGCTCCTCATTCCCCAGGGGAGGGACACACACAGTCAGTCTTCACTTGTGCGTCCCATGGAATTCCCCAGTGACCTGCTATTCCTGTGTTAGGGAGGCCCTCCTACATCTCCCCTCAGCCCTCCCAGGAACCTTTACCCTCTTTTCTCTACTGCAGCAGTCCCGTCTCCCTTCTTCTCACCACATCTGTGCTCCGTTCCCACTCGGGACCTCCAAGGAAGAAGATACAGGAGGAGCCAAAGGATTGTTCCTCAGAGATGACAAACTGTGTTCGTCACAGCACACTCTGTCTGTGTACCACAATTTTTTTTTTTTTTTTTTTATGAAGACCAAGTCTCATGTAGCTCAGGCTTGCCTTGAGTATCCTCTGTAGCAGAGGGTAGCCTGGAACTCCTCCTTCTGAGTACTGGGCTTACAGGCACACACCCACTATGCTTTCCCTGCTCTTGGGGACGGATCAGGAGTTTCGTGCATGCTAGGCAAAAGCCTCACAAAATAGGTCTCACCCCCAGGCTTGTTTCCTAAATCACTTATCACAAATATTTTGTTTGTTTACCAAGTGCTCACCAGAATGTTCCTAAAATCTGTTTTCAGTTAACAATATTTATCACTCAGCTCTGCCCTACCCAACCCCCAGATAGCGGCTGCAGAACACAGAGTCAGATGAGGAAGAGGAAATGTGTTCTCACTTTCCTGAAGGACAGGGAGGGCTGCCACTGTGTGGAAATGCCGTCCCACCAGAGGCTTCTGTTTCTCACAGCCTTGGAAGGAGCTCGTGCCTACAGCTCTCAAGAACAAGGGAGAGGAACTGCCACCAAGGTCCAGCCAGTGACACAGTGACTTCTGGAAAGCCTTATCCTCCGGACTGGGGTCCAGGCTCCCATCTTCCAGCAACAATGACCTTGGGGAGAACAAGCAGCCACGAAGGCTTCCATCCTGTGCCAGTGAGACACATTATGTTCACCATCTCTTCCTGGACACGTCATCAGGTCAAAAGTGAACCCACCCCAACCCCAGGCATGTGAGGAAATCGGGTTCCATCTCTGGAACCCTCAGCCCCTCTACCCAGGATGTGGCTGTCCGGTTGACAGTGATGATGGAGCTAAGTTTGGGACCCAGAGATGGAGGACGGAAAGAAGATGCAGAGATTTGCTGGCAGATGTGACATGCTTTCTTCACTCAGGGTAAACACATGCACACTTGATTCCAAGGCATTTTTGCAGAATATTATACAAAATTGGCTTCTGGCCAGAGCTGGCTACATGATGAGTTATGTAACAGTCACCGTGATGGTTTACACATGGCTGCCTGCACATCCGGTAGTGGCCGTCTAACCAAGTCAATTGGGTGTCCATGCTGGCACCTTTGTCTGAATCTTTATATGGCCCTGACAGCCTTTATTTCTTTCAAGTGGCCTCCCACATGTCCACTGCCTGGCCGAGAAGCCCCCAACCAAAGACCGTGAGTAGTGGAGGTCATTGTCCTCAGCTCCTGCCACCATTTTGGAAGAGGGCAACTTGATTACTTGATTCTATCCCTGTTGCTGGGATAGAATGACCTGAAGGAGAGATATGAATCCCACTGGGTAAGACTAAGACCACTATCACAATTTTTGGGGCCAAATTTGAAGCAAGCTTTATTGAATACTGGCCAGGATGATGGACACTGGCCAGGTCCATACTCTCCCAAGAGCATCAAATTACATTAGACAGGAGCTCAAAGGAAAGACCCATAAGGTTCTGTCCTTCCCACATTCGTCCAATCAGGGACAAGCATATGTCCTCAAGCACTTCTTTTGTTCTTTTTTGGTTTTTTGAGGCTGTCCTGGACTTGCTTTGTAGACCAAACTGGTCTGGAACTCACAGCAATCCACCTGCCTCTGCCTCCCAAGTGCTGGGATCAAAGGCGTGGGCTACCATGCCCGGCTCCTCAAGTACTTCTTGCCCATAAACTTTCCACCTTCAGATGGTCACGGATGTCCTGTGCAGTTGGGGCAACCAAGCTTGCTTACAGAAGTGAAAACACATAGCTTGTCATTTTACATGAACAGCAGCCCCCAGAATTCCAGGAAGTTATCAGTCCTTGCCAAGTGGGGCTTACAGGTTGGGGCATTTTTGTTTCTTTAGATCTCTTAATTTCAAGTAATTTCAACCTGGAAAAGCTTTAGCCACCACAGTGACTCAAGGACGGGAACAGCTTGTCTTGGGTCACAGTTCAGGGTCCATCATGACAGGAAAGTTTAGGCTTCAGGAACTTGAAGCAGCAGGTCACAGGTATCCTGTTGTAGAAAACTTGGTTATTGATGTTTGGCATCAATCAATAGATTATTACGGCGGCTGTTATTTAAGCCAATAAAAGATTGTCTTTTATCAATAAAAGACACAGGCACCTGTTAGATTTTTAACATGCCTTAAACTCTGGGGCTGGGCAGAAACTACCCTCCTAAGCTATCTTTTTTACCTCCCAACCCCACATCCCATGCCAATTGCTCTAATAATTCCTAGCTGAGCTACTTCCCGTCCAATATCCCATAAATGCTTGCACGTGTTTCTCATCTGGGCCGTTTCCATCACCGATCCTCAGAGCAGGCTCCTCCCGGCTATATGCTGTTTGTTTATGCTAATCCATGGGAGTTTTGCCTCTTTTTCTCCTCTCTCTCTACCTTCTCCCCTCTCTTCCCTCTCCCATGATCCTCCTGTCCTCCAAGCTTGGAACCTTGATCCACCTGCCTCAATTCTGCCCTGCCCGGGTATAGACATTTATTCAGGCCCTCAGGGATTATTGGAAGAGAGGTTACATAGTATCATTTTGGGTACCTGATAGATTGCTGGTTAAAAAAACAGCAAGCAGCCCTCAGGGAGCAAAACAGTTAGCAAGCAAATACAAAGCACTAGACCATGCTGTAACAGTATCCACAGTCAGAAAGCAGAGAGGAAAGAATGCATGTTGGTGCTTGGCCAGCCCCCTTCCTACTTTCTATATAGTCCAGAGCCCAAACCCAGGGAGTGGTAAAACTACTTTCAATGTTCCCACCTCAACCACGCACCTTTGCATAAGCCTGTCCAGAAGCCGCATAATCCCCAACAGCTGTGCCTGGAGGCTTATCTTCTAGGTAATTCCAGATCTGACAAGTTGGCAAGGAACATTAACCCTCATAGAGGATTTTCTGGTTGAAAGCTCTGGCTAGTAGGTTAACCTGGAGGTCAATATCCCAGCCACACCTGGCCTCTGACCTGCCTGGCGGTCAATCATGCTGAAGAGGACACGAGGGTTTCAGTTACTTGCCATGTCTTCCCTGATCCTCATCAAGGAAGCATTCAGATTCCGACTTGCTCAGCAACACCGCCCCCCCCACCCCGATATACACACTCCTTTCCAATGTTTAGAACTTTCAGGCTTCCTTGAAAGAAAATGGCTCAGCTCTCTCCGGCCCAGCTGGGAACCCAGGAAGGAGGATGGAGGATAAGGGGAGTGCCTGAAGTGCTCCAAACTGGAGGAAAGAAGGTGGGAATAAGGGAATCCAGCCGTGGCTCGTGGCTCGGGTGCAGGGCAAGGGCCTGTGCCGCCTGTAACCAAGAAAGAACAGAGAAATAGCCCCAGGCAGAGACGATGCTTCTCCCGGCCTACCTGCTCTTCTCCAGAACACATCCGGCACCCAAGGGGCTCCCCGCCCCTGGCTCTGGTGAGTGTATTGCTTGATTTGGAACAGGACCGATCACTTGAAGTCAAGGTTCCTTCCCCTGCCCGGCCTGACCCCTGACCCCAGTACTTGCCTGATCTGTCCCTCCCATTCTTCCCAGGACTGTTTTTGTTTGTTTGTTTGTTTGTTTTTGGCTGTACCATCCAGAGACCAGGATCCTAACAAGGCAGAGAGACATCCCTTGCCAAGGTCCTTATGGTCACTTGGCCTTTCTGTTTCCCTCTTTCATTCAGAACCAGAGCCTGAGATGGTAGGAATCTAGCCACAGGTGTCTTCAATCTTCCTACCTGTTTAGGGTTCTGCTGACAGGCCTAGTGGAAGGAAGAGCAGGGAGTAAAGGAGAAAACGGAGTTAGGTGGGCTCTTCGTGGTCCCTCCACACTTCCCACTCTTCAGCTCTGGACACACCCTGGCCAGAGCCAGCTGTTAGCAGACATGAGCCCCCAGGAGCTGGCAGCTGTGATGATCTTGCTGACTAAGTGCCTGGGGTCAGGGCTGGTGGATGCAGCCAAGGCTTGGCCTTTGGCCCTCGGACAGCTGTGTCTTCTCGGTGGAGCTGAAGGCCTCATTAGAGGCTCTGGCAAGGGCCCTTCTCCCAGCTGCCTGGGAAGCACAGCCCAGTGCAAGTGAGCCTGTGCTGGGGGCCCTGCCTCCCACCTCCCACTTGTGGGATGTCACTGTGGAGCATCACGGTGGCCCCCGGTCCTATTATCAGTGTCCTATGCTGGTCAGAGGGTATCTGAATACTGACTGGATGGTTTTTCATAGAGAGCGGCCTGGGGAGATCAGTCCCAAGAACTCACAGAGATAAAAGAATCAACTCCACAGGGCTGACCTATAACCTCCATGTGCATGCTTTAAACACACACACAAACACACACACACAAACACACACACACTATAAATAAATGGTAAAATTAGATTGGGTAGCCAGGCTCACACTTGGAATCTCAGTATTTGGAAAGCTGAGGGTCACCTGAATTCTGGGCCACCCTGAACCACTTAAGTGAGTTATGCAGGGTCTGGAGAGGTGGCTCAGTGGGTAAGAGCATTTGCTGCTGTTGCCAGAGGTCCCAGGTTCAATTCCCAGCACCTACACATCAGCCCACAGCCGTCTGTTAACTCAGGTTCCTGGGGACATAGCGCCCTCTTATGGCCTCTGTAGAAACTGCATGTGTCTTGAACCATATGACCCCGTATGCACCTGATCCCATGGGAGACTGCCTGGGTTACCAGTGCTATGGGTTTAAAAATATATATGAAATATATTTATTAAGATAAATCTTTTTTAAAATGAGAGAGAAGTTAAACCAAACTGTCCCTGTACTTGGCCAGCCACCATAGCAATAAGAGGGGTCACTGGTGAGTTTAGCTGCTTAGGTGCTCCCCAGAACAGCTCCACTGAGAGAGCCTTTGGCTGAGGGAGGTGAGCGGTGGGTTGTCACAAGGCCTGCGGTGGTGGACTGAAAAAAGGGCCTCCCATTGCTCTACCTCCTGTGGGTAGAAGGGACCTATGAGTCCTCAGTTCTGGGTCTTGAGCTGATCAAAATGAAGACACATGATGGATAGTAAAATTCACTGACGCAAAAATAGGAAAATGTTCCTGGTAGAATTTAGGTTGTGGGATTACAGATGTTTGCAAATCAGAACCCTTCCGCCTCATCTTCTGCGGGCTGGGATGACAGACTCGTGCCACCATGCCTGACTTATATCGGACTGGAGATGAAACTAAGGCTTGTGCGTGCTACAGAGGACTCCACCAGCCGAGACATCCCAGCCTTGTATACTTAAGACAGTGACAATAAAGAATGGAGTTGAAGGCAGGGGATAGAAGGGACACAGAGAGCAGGTGGAGGGGTGCAGCGGGCACATTGGAACCCATCATCAGGAAGCAGGAAGAGCAAGCTGGGAAAGGCACGAGATCTTTAAAACCCCAAAGCCTGAGCCAGGTGGTGGTGGTGGCTCACGCCTTTAATCCCAGCACCTTGGAGGCAGAGGCAGATGGATGTCTGTGAGTTCAAGGCCAGCCTGGTCTAGAGAGCTAGTTCCAGGACAGCCAAGGCTACACAGAGAAACCCTGTCTCGAAAAACAAAAACAAAGACAGATGGTGCATAAGGATAACCTCTGATCTACACACATACACACACACACAAGCATGCAGGCATGCACGCACAGAGGAACTGCAGGGTTTTGAAGTCATATCCAATTGGCCTTGGGGCCAGCGCCCAGCCTGGCATTTACGGAAGCTGAAATGAGTCTCTCCTGAAGCCGGAACAGGCGCTCCACATCGTTACATCCTCATCCCTCTTTCTCTTAACATTTAAACGGCCATTTCACATCCGTTTTCTGATTTGACTCCCTTGGAATGAGTGGAAGTTCAAAGATCCCGGGTAAATAAACCATTCTTATTTTTTGCACTGTCAGCCTGGGACACAAGGCCAAAGGGCAGTACTGACATGCCAAGCCCAAGCACTTCCTTTCCAGGGGACAGTGGTATTGCCTGAACTTGCATCCAGCAAAGGTTGCAGGAAAGACCTGAGGTCAAAGGATTCTGGGATGGTGGCTATGAGCAGGACAGAAAAATAGTTCCTTCAGCTCAGAGGAAACCCTGAACATGGAGGGAGACAGGTCATGGAGTGGGGAAGGGACTGGGGAATTAGATCCCGGTTCCTCGTCACCCAGCACTCACTGACTCTGTAAGGGGCAGGACTGCCTTGGAGACAGCAGTTGAGAGTGATGTGGTTTCCTCCCTCTGGGCGAGCGGAAGCAATGGGGCACCACTGCTGGGATTTGGAGCCAGTCAGTGTGACCTAGGATGAGTTAACAATTTTATCACCTGTGCAGTGGGGGCAGGGCTAAAACCCCCTTATGAGAAGTGAATGAATCCATGGCTTTCCATGCTTTTTCTTTTTTTAGGAGGGGGATGGTTTGAAAAAGGCTTTTTCTGTGTAGCCTTGACTGTCCTGGACTTGCTTGGTAGACCACGCTGGCCTCGAACTCACAGAGATCCGCTTGCCTCCGCCTCCCTAGGTTCTGGGATTAAAGGCAGTCACCACTGCACCTGGCTTCCATGAGTTTTCTTAAAGTATTCCTGAATATAGTAATATATTTAGTAATTATATATATATATATAATACTAAATATAATATAATACTAAATATAATTTATAATATAAATATAAATAATTTATAATACTAAAAAAATATAATACTAAATATATATAGTATATATATAAAATATATATATTTTATATATATATATAAAAATATAATACTAAAATATATAGTAATATATTTCAGTGCATATAGCTATTATATAACTTTTTATTAACCAGCAATTATAGGCTTTTGCTTTTTCTTTTTGGTTTTTCAAGACAGGGTTTCTCTGTGTAGACCTGGCTGTCCTGGAACTAGCTCTGTAGACCAGGCTGGCCTCAGAATTTAGAGATCCTTCTGCCTTTGCCCCCTTGAGTGCTGAGATTGAAGATGTGGGCTGCCATCGTCTGACTATAGGCTAGTTCAGTAACTGTGTAAGCAATCCCTCTAAACACTTAGTGGCCTAGAGCAACAAACACAATTTACCTTGCTCCCGACTCTAAGGGTGGGAAGTCTGGGCTGAGCTCAGCCGGACAGTTCTTCTGCTGGATTCTCCTGGGTTCGCTGACAAGGCTAGCGGACAGGGTCTGGGTTGTTCAAAGTGGCTTTACTTATGTGTCTAGTGGCTGTGGTTATAGCAATATGTGGAGGTCAGAGGACAATTTGTTTATCTCCTTCCACCGTGTGGATTCCAGAGGTCAAACTCAGGGCTCTAGGCTTGGCAGCAAGGACTTTTACCTAGTGAACCCTCTAGCCGGCCCTCTGTTTTATTTCTGAGCTAGGGTCTCTCACCGAAACTGTACCTCACTCGTCCGTTAGGCTAGCTGGTCAATGGGCTCTAGAGACCTTCTTGCTCCTGGCTCTGCCCCATCTCTAGAAGCATCCCGTATTGCCGGCTTTTTATGCCAGTGCCAGAGATAAAAACTCAGGTCCCCGTGCTTGGCCAGGGAGCATTTTACAACTGAGCCCTCTCCCCAGCTCCTGCCTCCTTTTTACCAATGCCCCGTTAGCCAAATCGAGTCATAAGACCAGACCCTTAGTCAAAGGATAAAGGCATAAACTTCATCTTCTGATGAGAAGAGAGGTACCGTCGAAGGCAAAGGGGCCAGGGCCAAGGCCAGGGCTACGAGTATGTTCTCCACCATCTAAATCACTTCACGCTGAGCACCTGGTGGGTCTAGGATACCAACCTAGACCGCAGAGCTCAATTTTAGAGACTGAAGGAAGTGCTTTCTTGGCCCTCAAGGCTCAACACAGAAAGAAAAGGATTGAGACATAAACAAAACAACTTCAACGCATGCTTGAATGTGATCAGTGCCCCAGGATTAGGACCAGGTTGGGTCAGAGAGCAACTTTAGTCAGAGGTGAGGGTCGCCGTGTTGGGAAGGCTTGATTAGCCTTGATCTTGGATACAGTTAGAAGCTGGACATCTGCAGATGAGGGAAATGATATTCTGGGTGGAGGAAAGAGAAAAGCTAGGGCAAAATGGAGGAAGGAAGGACTGTGTAGGGAACAGGAACTGAATGATAACCTGGAATCTAACAGTGTGTGAACCTGGCCTTGAGCCTCACTCTGTAGGCAGTGGGAGCTACTGAATGTTTCTGTTTTTTGTTTTTTGTTTTTTGGGTTTTTTTTTGTGGTGAGTGAAAAAGGCTGTCTTGCTAATAGTCGGATGGCTTGGAGTGGGGCGTGAACAGACATCAGGTGGTCAAGGAACTAGGGGTCTAGGTGGATGAACTGGCTAGAGCATCAAGAGAGAAAGCAGGGCTTGGGAGACGGCAGTGGAGAACATGGACGGGTCTCCAGCACCCGTCCAAGCTGAGATGCCATCTACAACCCTGGCACTGATACCAGAACGGATACGGGTGGATCCTGGGAACCATTGCTGAGCCAGCCTATCCAAAATGGCAAGCACTGTGTTCAGTAAGACCCTGCCCCAAAAAATAAGGTATGTGGGGTACTGTAAAGATAGCTTAGCAGTCGAGAACCCTGGCTATTCTTGCAGAGGGCCCTGGTTCTATTCCCAGCAGCCACATGGCAGCTCCCAACCATCCATCACTCCAGTTCCAGGTGAGCCGATGCCTTCTCCTGACCTCTGTGGGCACCTGGAGCACACACACACACACAGCACACAGCCCCGTGCACATAAAATACAATAATATGAACAGAAATGTTTTAAAGTAAAAATTAAAAAAAAAAAAAAAGGTGTTGAGTGGTACAAGAAGATACCTGACATGGACCTCTGGCTTCCACGTGCACACACGTGACACACACGCAATATACCGAGCACCCCCAGACACACAATAAATACAATGAAGTAAGCTTGGAAATGTAAGGGCAACAGAGCATGAAGAGCTGTCAAAGAGGATGACAAGGCTGCCAGGCACAGTGCCCACAGGACGGCAAAGAAAGGGTTCCCTTCCAAAGCAGGGAAGCCTGGAGGAAAAACAGATCCGGAAGGAAGCTGTGGGTGTGGGGGATGTGTGGGACATCCGGGTGGCCTCTCCCTAGACGGTAACACACATACACACACACACACACACTCACACACACACTACAGAAGCAGAGAGAAAGGAACAACCTGGAACACAGCAACCAGGGTGTCAAACTTGTCACTTGTGGCCAGGTGATGAAGGGGGAAGCAGGATGCATGGAGGCCAGTGAGATTTGACAACAAAAGGGTCACAGTAAACTTCCAAGAGAGGAGATGAGGTCAAGGTCACCTGGGGTTCAAGGTGAGGGGAGCAACAGGCGTCTTGCTCTCTGGGTTTCTGGTTGGAGAGCTCCCCTGGACTCTTAAAAACCTCTTTCTGTTCCAAACCTTTCAAGGAGAAGGTGCTTAAAATCTCACTCAGGGCTCCTGCTGCCAAGACAGGGGCCTCATGCTCCAAGGCGCTAGCACTGAGCTCCATGGTAGCTAAGTGCATGGTAGCTAAGGCCCAAGATATTTAGAATCTGAAAACCAAAAAAGAACACTCTTTCCCCACCCGCCCTTTCTAGAAGGAAAGCACACGGGACTCTTCTGGCTGTGCTTCCCTATCCTCCGTCCCCATCATGCCTTGTGGAGACTGGGGAAATCACCTCCTGGCTGTTTACTTCCTAGCTGAACCCTGCTGTGTTTTCCTATCTAAAAATAGCTACACACCAGCAGCTCAATTCACAGGGCCTCCCTAACTTCAGTGTTTGTTTTCATAGCAACTTGGGACCTCACCTCTTCCCTTCTCAGCATCCGTGAACGCTGAGGGGGACAGGGGAGGGGTGTTTAAAATGGCCCAAGACTGCTTGTTTCCTAATGATGTTTCCAGCTAGCCTCCGGGAAAAGAGCAGGACACAGCATACACTGTAAGAAAGGGCTGTTTGCTCCAGATGAAATGCTCCCAGTTGGACTAATTGATGAAGGGTGACAAAGACAGGGTCGGAGGCACAGAAAGCTCACTGTGCTAGGTAGATGCCAGGTGGGGGTTTCTGTTGAGTTATGTGTACTTCAGATCTGAGCTGCTTCCACTGGTCTTAGTGTCCAAGTGTCTTTTGTTTTGTTTTTCAAGACAGGGTTTTTTTTTTTTTTTTTTTTTTTTGTGTAGCCTTGGCTGTCCTGGACTTGCTTTATAGACCAGGCTGGCCTGGAACTCATAGAGATCTGCCTGCCTCTGCCTCCCTGAGTCCTGGGATTACAGGTGTGTGCCATGGTGCCTGGCTTAAAATACATCTATCTATCTATCTATCTATCTATCTATCTATCTATCTATCTATCTACCTACCTACCTACCTACCTATCAAATTATTGTTTTTTGAGACAGGGTTTCTCTGTGTAGCAGAGCTCTGGCTGTCCTGGACTCACTTTTGTAGACCAGGCTGGCCTCAAACTCACAGAGATCTGCCTGCCCCTGCCTCCTGAGTGCTGGGATTAAAGGCGTGCGCCACCACCCTGGCCCACATTTATTTATGGTGTATATATGCGGGCATGCTTGCATACCCAGATCTCGCCCTCTACCACGTGGGTCCTGGGGACTGAACTCAGGTCCTCAGGCTTGGCAGCAGTCACCTTTACCTGCTTAATCATCTCACTCTGAATCAGTAGGGTTTTTTGTTTGGGGGAGTGGGGTTTCAGTCTCCTTATTAGACAGAGCCTTTTGTTGTCACTCAGGCTGGCCCCGAACTTCTTGAGCTCAGGCTATCCAAATGCCTCAGTCTCCTGTGTAGCTGGGATTAGAGGTACCATTGCACTCAGCCGACGGTCTTCAAAATCGAGCTCTGTTTATCTTTTCCTTCAGCTCTGTGCCAGAGGACTTGCTGCAAATGTACAAGGCCCTGAGTTCTAAAAGAATTAGCTCAGGCACTTGGGAGACACTTTGAGAGGGCACTCCATGCTCAGGATGGAAGGAGAAGATTCCCTGCAGTGTGCCACCAACCAAATTCAATTGCTAGGAGGAAGGACCAAGTTTGACAGGAGGAATGTTCCCTAACCACTGAAGGGGTTTGACATCACCAGGGGTTGTGTTGGGAATGAGGAAAGGGTCTGCCATCTGTCCCTGAGGAAAGGGGAAGTGCTTGGTTGTCCTGGCAGAAACACCCACTTCCTTTGGGAAAGGTGGCTTAAGAGATTTTTGTTAATTTGTTTGCTCGTTTGTTTGTTTGGAGAGAAGGCATTTCCTGGGCTGGCAGGAGGAAGGGAGAGAGCAGTGAGCTCTTAGCTGTTTCCAGTGGAACAAAATACCTTTGGGTATTCTTCAGTGAACACAACGTCCAGCTCTTCCTGAGTGCCAGGCTCCGGCTGCCTGGCCAACAGGTGCACAGGTCAAGGTCCTCAGCCTGAACTTTCTCACCGGGCAGAGATAAGTCAGCCATTTTCACTGGCTAACAATCATTAACCCACCTTCACCTGGATTCCCCGACTTGTTTTTCTAGCAAAGGAATGGGGTCACTCACTCTGAAGGTGACAGCAGCTGAGCCAGCCAGTTTCCACAGTCCACCAAGAAACAGCCCTACCATCCCCACCCTCTCCCCACCCCTGGCACCTCATTGATCGCTTGGTAGGAGAGAGGGAAATGAAACCCACTCAAAAGCTGTAAAGAACAGAAATATTAAGTTCTACTCTATGGCTGGGGCTGTAGTGCGTTTGTCTAGCAGGAACGAGCAGGCTCCTATAGACCCAGGAGTGGTGGTACATGACAGCAATCCCAACATTCAGGAGGTGGAGGTCGTTCAAGGTCATTCACGGCCTCAGAGAGAATTTAAGGTTGGCCTGGCTTGAGACACTGTTTTAATAGACATAGGCGCATACATACACACACACACACACACACACACACACACACACACACACACACACA